TATTTCGCCTCAAAAATGTTTGTCTTTAAAAAAGACAGAATTTTCTCACGTTTTTTATTACAGATTGATAAATAGTGCTCCTATTTCGCAATAAGAACGAATTATTTATCAAAAAGTAACCAAGAGCTTTCACCTAGAGGGTATCGTATATGCGACACACTTAGGCTCCATATACTATATCTATAAAAAATTAAGAATAATTCTCGTCTGCCCCTCTGTCTAAAGTAAAATGAATTGTGTGATTTGTCTATTATGTCATTTACTTCTTGTCAATTTGTTGGCGCCAAGTTTATTGGATTTTAGTTACGTTAAAAACGCGAAACGCCGTCACGTGGCCGGCACTTTGGCGTGACTGGTATTCTGAACTTGTACTTTGTACTTGTCTTGTTTCATGTGATTTGTTAATGAGCTGTAGTTCATTATTATACAAAACGTTTAACACAAAGGTAAGTACCACTTATTTAAACATTGTATTTATAGTTGTACCTGGCTTTTCTATTATAATTGGGATAAATAGTGGAACGCTTATACGGAACAGTGTAAGGTCTAGTCGTTATATACGTAACAGTGTAACCCTGTTCCGAAAATATATGTATGTAGGTAGGTATATACTGTCTTTTGCGTCCCAACTTTCTTTTTAAAAACAAGATTAAAAACAAGGAACCTCAGGAGTAGCCCGACTTTTGAGGAACAAAAAACATAATTTTATTATAAAAGAATAGAACATTAGTTTTTAATTGTGAAGGTTATATAAGTAGTATTACTAAGTAGTATTATGTATCAGGTGGTACAGTTAGACGAGCTTGCGGGCAGAACTTTGGCAGTGATGCACCAGAACTCAAGCAATAGGTACTGTGGCCTCCGATTAAAGAGAGGAAAGCGTTTAGAAAGGTTCTTACTGACGGAGTCCAAGCTGACAGCAACTGGAGGCCTTTTAGAATAAAAAGAGTTTTCTTTCGAACGGGTTTCTAACAATTATTGGAAATACCACGTAAATGTCATCATTCCTCTTTGTCAGCAAAAAGGAGAAAAACCATAATCTATGTTTATATTCAGAGAAATCGACTCGTAACTTTGAGTCGCTGATCTAAGCGTAAATGGTTAAGCTCAACCGAATGATACCGATGAATTTCAGTCTAATAAGAGAGCCTTAAAGAACTCGTTGTATCAACAACATAATAAAACACGTTCTGCTTGTGTTGAGATAAATACATAGTTATTTTATTTCAATGCTTTTTTTCCTATTAACAATCTAATAAGAATAGTAGTTTTTATCTGTCTTCCGGTTTTTTATTATTATTTTTGTGGCTGTTCAGAACTACTTTTAATAAATTAAAATTGTAACCATCTTTGCTTGCTTCCTGTCAATAAAATATGATTTAAGATTCTATAGTGTCTTATTGTAACTAAAACATTTCCTCAATATGAAGTAATTGTACTGACCATGTACAGACCTAAAACCGACGTTTAAGTGACATCAATAAGTCTAGCCGAAGTCATAAAACAGACGTCTGGCAGATGTGTCATGTAGCGATCATTTGGACGTCCAAATGACCAGCTATCTGACGTCTTCTGGTCGAATCTCATGTCGTCGTTTAGGCGTCCATAAGACGTAGTGTGCTACCTGGGTAAACGTTGATACAGCAGAATCACCATTTTTATAGTAACATTTAATAATTTGTACGCCTTCATCGACAGTTAAACGACCCATATTCCAAAATGGCAAACCTTCAAATAAAACAAAAACGCTTCGGATGACGTTTACCTTTACAGATATCAAATAGCAGGGTTTCAGTTTCCCAACCTTGAATTGGATAACCCGTTATTTATTGGGAAAGGTCTCCACATTTCAGTTATAAATATTTTTAGGTTGTTTCCTTTATTTATTTGGCAGCTATTTAGGCGTAATAACAAATTATAATATAATAGCTAGCCTCTGCCTGCATCGTTACTAATTGCAGTTTTGCAGATTTCCTTAGTCCTTAGCCTTAGTCCTTAGAGTACTTAGCAGCACCATGTTCGGCATATTAAACTTTCCAGTGTAGTCACGATATGTTCTATCCAGGTTATTACTCCTCATATCAATTAAATAGTTATTTCTAAGCTTTTTTTAATGGCAGTTTATGTTCCTAACTTTAGGGCTGAAACTCCAAAGAGAACTTGGGAATATACATGTTCAGGGGACATTAACGTCGACATTCTCTGCAAAGGCATCATTAAGACGAATGGCGTGTAACCAGAAAATTACGAACATATTTATGGGCATTGCCAAATCGACGTTCGCGAAAATACCGCATTCATTGCCTATTTTCTACAGTTTGGGCTTCGATATCTTATCATTGAGAAACCTTATAAATATTTTACAGGCTAGTTCAAGTGAATGTGGTTTTACCATTTACAAGGACACAGAAAAAAGCTTGCAGATGTATTGATAGAACGAATGCCACAGATCTCCATTACTTATTCCCATCAAATCAAATAAGGAATAAATTCGTCAAAATAAAGGGTAAAAGTTTTTCAAAAAATCGCCCAACAAAATATTTGCACAATTGGATATGAGCACCATTTACCACCCTACAATATCCTAAACGATCGACTAATGATCTTGGGACATTATTTATATTCTTTCAGAAATAATTCTGTCGGTAAGTAGGGTCCGATGTTTAATTTATTCGATACTTTTGGGTTCATTTTTAAAGACATCTTATTTACCATTATCTTATCATGTCTTTAGCCAGTTTTCAATTTTTGTCAGGTTTATTTGTAGTAGTTCTGAAGCTATTATAAGATTTGTATGTGATGTCATGATATCAGTGTCATCCACAAATGTGACTGTGGTATTTTGCTCCATTGTTGGCAGATCTGAAGTGTACAGGAGATATAGAATTGGCCCCAAAACACTACCCTGATTCACCTCTGCTTCTACTGGGCATATTCTACTGGACATAAAGTGTCTATTGATAATGTACGTTTTCATTAGTTGGTATAAGTAGTAAGGAAACATCTTTTTTATATTATACAGTAATCCAGGATGCCAGACTCTATCAAATCCCTGCGATATTAGTTATCCGCATTTAAAGAAGTTTAAGTTAGGCGATCTTCCCGATCATTCTATGGATTTGTGTCATCCTATCCATCGACCTGGAAATGTATCATTTAATTAATTTCTAACGTCTGCGCTATAATGAGATAAAGCCCCATTCTGTTGGAACCAAAAGCCATCATTTGGATAAATTCTTAAATGTGATTATACAGGGTGATTCAAAATAGGGGTCATTCCTTTTGAGAGGTGATAGAGGCTCACTTGGGGAGTACGAGAAAAGTATGGACATTTTTTTTGTTCGAAAATTTCTAGAAGATATTAACCGTTGAAGATCGAATTTCAACTTTATTATTAAGCATTGTTTTGAAATTGTTCCTTGTTTAATTGGTAACATATTGGAATTCTTAACCATTCAAAAAGAAAAATTTCGATCTTTGCTTCAAATTACGAAAAATTTTCATATCAAAAAAGTTACCTTCTACAATTTTTTGATGAAAAGTCACAGCGGCAATGATGTTTTTTGCCATTAACAGATAGTTACAGGTGGATAGCACTTGTCAATAATAACAATAATTTGTCAA